AACTAAGACAGGTCTTGAGTTTTAAGTTATTTGACCCCTTGTATAAAAACCACCAAATTATAAAGTTCTTAATACAACAGTTAACAGTTCAACAGCTGCTAGACTCCCTTGAATGAAAAACAATATGGATATATATTTTTTATTCTGGAAAAAGCTGTAGAAAGTGTCTTTAGTATCCTGCTAGTTACTAAAGTGGAACTTATAAAAGGTCCCATCCTAGTCTATAAAGACACACAATTTTCCCTGCATAGAGGCAGCCATCAAAAACATGAAGATTCCTCCACTGAAATTAGTAAAGAAAACTTTAAAATCTTGCCCAATGCCACCTCATTCATATCCTTAAAGAGGGACCACCATGAGGTTAGGGGAGATGTTAGGGCATAGTTGCAAAATATTTTGGAAGCCCATTATATAGCTGTTATATGTAAAAGGCCACGCCCACATCACAGAACCTGAAGCTGTTAGGGCCTGGAGGGACAGGACCAGCCCCATAGTACAGACCCTTACTTCCCAGCTGAGACTCTGAACCCGAAAGAAGCCACAGGCGTTCCAATCTCCCACCCTCTACCTGGAGCTATAGGGTCCTGATTGCTGCCACTGCTCTAAGTACTTATTTCTGGCCCTACCTGAAGCCACAAGGGAATATTTTTTAAAGATTTTATTTATTTATTTTGAGAGAGAGCACAAGCAGGGGGAGGGGCAAAGGCAGAGGGAGAAGCAGGCTCCCCACTGAGCAGGGAGCTCGATGAGGGACTCAATCCCAGGACCCCGGGATCATGACCTGAGCCGAAGGCAAAGGGCTTAACCGACTGAGACACCCAGGCGTCCCGCCACAGGGGAATTTGAATTTACTTGAGATTATGCATTTAATAACAGGTTTAAACGATGTGTGTGTGTGGGTAGGGGGAGGACGGAAGTGAGGGGCTCCCTGCTAACTCTGCTTCCCCCTGCAGATATGGTAGGTGTCCCTGCAGGCACGCTCCAGGCTCCCAACCCTGCCCAGGCTGGAGTCTGGTTTTAATGTATTGATTCATGACTAATAGCCTTTTATGTGCCATCTACTGTGATCATCTCCAAGCAGTACAAGAAATGGACTCCCAGTTCTTAAGGGGTCAAACACAAGTAAGCAGCTTCGATTCTAGAGTGTCCACTGTGGGCCTGGAGCCAACATCAACATTGTACATGTGTCCATACGAGCACCTTGAAGGAGCGCATGCTTACGATCTCAGCAAGAGGGTCAGGGGCATCCACGCTCACACCCAAACAGACCTACAGGCCCGGGTATGAGCAGTACGAGGGAAGGGAACGGGGTCCCTAACAGGGGCATCGGCACTGGCTGGGAGGAGTTGGAGGGGACGCCTTGGGAGGGCTGGGGTCTCCACCGAGCTCCCCTGGGGAGGGCAGGAAAGACAGAGGCTGAGTGCAAGTGGGAAGACAGTCCGGAAAAGGGTAGGCCGGTGAGAAGGTTCAGATTATGCCCAAGGGAGAGTGAGCGGCGCAACCGATGCAGCTTGGCGGAGGGGCGGAGGGGCGGGGGTGGGGGGGAGGCAAAGGGGAAGCAGCAGGGGTCGCTGGTGGAAACACACGGGGAAGCTAGACCGGGGGCCTCCAGGGTCCACTGATGCGGCTGAACTTCACTCTGTCAGAACTGAAGGCACCCGTCCTCGGTTCCCTGCCTTCGATACACCCCAGCGCCACCTCAAACTCCCGCGTGGGTCCCCGTTCCAACCCTAACCCCTGTCCTTCCACGGGCGCGGCGCCGGCCTGGCTTCCCAGCAGTTGCTCCAGACACGGGCTTGAACTACTCACTCAGGCATTCACCCCTAAAAGGGGAGTCATTTCCTTCTGAGGAATGCCTGCCTGTGCCACTCACAGGCTCCTCGACCCTGCGGGATTCCGCATAGCCCTGTTTCTCCAGTCCCCCTTGAGCTGTCACTGCAGCCCCAGAGATGGTATGTGAGTTGGCCGGCTGCTGAGCACTTGCGAGCACCCACCTCCCACACCACCTCCCAGTTATGCACAAGCCGAGCTCCCCAACTCCCAGCCCGAAATCGAAATCGCTGCCGGCAACTCGCAGCCTTCGCGTGGGAGCCATCTGTCTCCGAAAGGGCAGAGGTGGACGGGTGTCGTGCATTCTGCTCTCGCTGACCACCCAGGAACAGGGACACCGACGGCAGAGTGCGGCCCAGCCCCTGAGCCCTCGCCACCCCTGGCACCGGACACTGCGCTATGTATGGGACGCAAGGTGCATTGCTTGTGACTGCCGAACACCCCAGGAAACAGAACAGAAAGGACTAATGGTGTAAATACGAGGAAGCCGAGGCTCGGGTGCGCACCCGAGTTCACAAAGTTATGACGAAAGTCTGGTGTTCGAATCTGAGTGACGTCATCTTCTCGTGATGGTGGGCCAAACGCTGAAACTGAAGTCAGATACCAGGGTGTGGCTCCCGCCTCTTCCACACACTAGCAATTGGAAATTCAGGTTCCTTGTATGGAAAGAGGACAGTATTTGTCGCAGCAGCCTCACAGAGCTGTGGTGGGATTAGAGCAGGGTTTCCCGACCTCAGCACGGTTGGCTTTTGGAGACGGGTAAGTTTATGGTGTGGGGACGGCCAGTGCATCGTAGGTGCTGAGCACCTCCCCTGGCCTGTAGCCACTAGACACCAAGAGCGCCCCCGCCACCCAGCTGTGATGACCAAAAAAACGTCTCTAGACATCGCCAAATGTCCCCACTAAAAATGACTCTCAGCCTCATTTAAATCAGAGCTTTATCCAAGCAACTGTTCCTCTTTGTTTTTGTTTTTGTTTTTGTTTTTTAAAGATTTTATTTATTTGAGACAGAGAGAATGAGAGAGACAGAGAGCACATGAGAGGGGAGAGGGTCAGAGGGAGAAGCAGGCTCCCTGCCCAGAAGGGAGCCCCATGCGGGACTCGATCCCGGGACTCCATCCCGGGACTCCAGGATCATGACCTGAGCCGAAGGCAGTCGCTTAACCAACTGAGCCACCCAGGCGCCCTGTTCCTCTTTGTTTTGTGGTGCCCCCATCCCCTTCCTCTCACAAAGCTGATCGATCCATTTTTCTTGGGTCTTAAACTCAAAGGGTCTTAATATTTAGATGCACTGGTTTCTTTTCCTTCTCGTTTATACGATCTTGGTATGTTTATATTAAAAAAATTCACACAAAGGCCAGGCTTTTCCCCCCTGAATAATGTGTACATTTATATGAAAAAAGTTAAAGCACTTCTTAGATTGCTAGCTTTAGGCATCCTTACTTTTTAAAAGAATTTTTATTGAGATATGATTGACATATAACACCATGTTAGTTTCAGGTATACAGCATCAAAATCTGCTATGTGTGTATATTGCAAAATGATGACCACAAATTGTTTCGTTAGCATCTATCATCACACAGCTACTGGTTTTCTTTCTCTTGGGACGAGAACTATTAAGATCTACTCTCAGCAACTTTCTAATATACAAAACAGTATTATGAACTATAGTCACCATGCTCTGCAGTATATTCCCAGGACTTACTATTTTAAAACTAGAAGTTTGCCCCTTTTGTTTTTAAATTATATCATGAAGGCAGCTTAAAAAAGCTCAAGATAAATTCTGAGCACCAAAGTTTTTGAAGTACTAAAGAAACAAAGCAGCTTAAGCAGAAAGGGACTTGCCATAGCAGAAGCTCAATAAGGTAGCTGCCTTCAGGGAGAGAGCCGAACAGAGGGGCCTCTGGCAGATTGCACATGTATTGTGTGCAGATAAAGTGAAGCTATGGGGAAAATACACGGTCCCTTCTTTTAGGAGATGTTTTGCGTCCTTGTAGACTGATCTTTACTGAATTGTGCTTTTTGAGCATCACGCCCTATAGGATTGATGTGGACTCGTTCCAACAGAATCATTGATCTGACTCCAAAAAAACCGTCTGAAGTTTCTGAAGCATGTTCTTTTCTTGTAAGATCGTGGGAGTATTTTTAGTCAAAAGAATTGTTTGATCTAATGCTCTAGCCCAAATGAGTTAGTGGGCTGCCGACTGCTACTGTCAGAATGTAAGGGAGAGGTCCACAAATATTCCAATGACCTGATACACAGTAGCCAAGAGGCCTCTTGTGCATCGCAGGACAGAGAATCTTGTGTAGTCACCCAGAGGGCCATCCCGGGTGGACTTGATCAAGACACTGCACCTCTCTGAGCTTTGATCTTCTGCCCCACAAAGTCGGCATGATGAGATGGTAAGAGAGCTGTTGCAAGGAGCCAGAGAGCTAAAGCATTTTCAGAACACAGAACAGCGCCTGACACATGAGAAGCACACAATCAATGTAGCTATCACTTCAACTATAGAACACTATTCCGCGTGATTTCAATAGGCGTTATCCAAAAAAGGGTCTTTTAGTCAAATGTCCGGATATACCACTTTAAATAAGGTTAAACAAGCCTTCTTTCTCCACTCGCTGCGGTACTTCTCAGAGTCTTTAAAATGCTGATATACAACCTGAGTTTCAAGATGGTGGTGACCCAGTACGGACCATTTGACACGAGGACCCTTTTTGCATAAAGCAGTTCACAAGACTAGTGTCGTAGAAAACACTGGGCGAATCATGGCTTGCACTTCCAAGCATGACACGTAGCGTAATATAATTGGGATCTCTTATCAGGATATACAGAACTTTAACTGTGAAACATATAAACACTGACAATTACCAGAACATGCTAAGAATCTGGGGCTACTTAATATTAAGCATTCACAATGGCTCAAATTTCAGTATGCCGTCCATGTTTATCTTTTTTAAAAATGTTATTGTGGTAAGGACACCTAATATGAGATCTACCCTCTCCCCCAATTTTTAAGTGAACATTACATCATTGTTGATTGTAGGAAGATGTTGTACAGCAGATCTCTAGGGCTTATTCATCTTGCACAACTGAAACTTTATGCCCTTTGATTAGCAACTCCCCATATCTCCCTCCCACTGGCCATGCTGATTTTTACATCACTTACCCGAGACCCTTTTTCATGAAAGCACTGGCACACTGAGCAATCTCTTCCTCCGCAAGGACCCACAAACTTCTTTCCACTCTGGAAAGTGAAGCATCTGGTTTAGTAAAGCAGTATTCCTCACTTAGCTGAGTACCTGATGTGTACTTTCTAACAAGCACCTTGGTTTCCCTAACCCACGAGAATTCCACAGTGTACTTTGACCTTTGGATCTGCAAAAAAAAAAGGCTAATGTTGATATATAAAAAGGCAAAGAACTTACACTGTGGCTTGATAAGAGGGCAGATGATTATGCAAGCAAAATAAAAGTTCATGTGAGCTAGCATTAAAAAGAAAAAAAAAAAAGCCTATTTCTGAAGCCACTTTTCATTGGCCAGAATCTTCTGCAATGTCTCTCTTCTACCAAGACATCACTTACTAAGTTGTGGATCATCTTAGAGTGTAAACTATATGGTTAGGAAAATCATAAGTACACAATGGTGTCTCACTTAAATATAAATTCAGTTGCTTTTCAGGACCTTCTTGCTTCCCCTCCAAGACCATCGAGTCCTTCCTGGTCACTGCTTGAATCACAGCCTTGAACTTCACGTGACAACTCTTTCCAGGAAGTTGCTGAAACTCTAAGATGGTTCTTCTAATGTGCCTCTCAACCAGAAAGCTCCTGAACTTGAATCCTTTGGGCCCCTTCTCCACTTCTCCCTAACTTCTCTCCAACATTCTCTTTAAAGAGTTACTCCACACTCACATATTTTCTTAACATTCACACATACACACACACACACACACACACACACACACACACACGTGCCTTTTGGAAAGAATCAGCCCCTTGTTCTCACAAATCCTCATGGTCTGTATCCAGAGTCATCTGTCACTTTGGTACAAAAGCATAATCCCAGAGTAACTATTTCCATAAGTAGACACCTTAACAACAAAACAGCCACCATGACGCACCTGCGCTGACAATGGACACTGAGCATTTCTTCAGAGCCTGGGGCTGTGGGTTGGGAGGGAGGGGGTGGCAAAAGCAGCTCCAGGTGCTAGGAGCTGAGAACATGGATAGGAATATCAGAAGGGCACCAGGGATAAATTTGGCCTAGTTCATGATCTTGCCTGGTCCAGCCCTCACTGCAATGCTTAGGTATTAACCACACATCTCTATGATTGACAGAGCTTTTACACTCAAGGCTGTAAATTTAAGCCTTTACGCCAAAGTATGACAGGGAACATAAAACATTCGAACCAATAGTTATAGTTCTGATGGAAGACCTCTATACATACATATACACCTATGTGCATAAGTATAAATGTAAATTACATCTGACTATGGGTACATATGAATACACACATGTACACATACACATGTATACGAATATGTGTATGGGAGGGAAAAGAGTCTATCCAGAATTTTTTTTTTCAATCACACAATTTAGACCTCTTTTTTCTAGAAAAATAGGCTCAGATGCAATAAAAAAAAATCTTTAAATTAAGCATTAATAAAAAAACATTATTATAAACAAAACTCCTTAGGGTCATTGAAAGTATATAAGAATGTGAACCTTGACAAGAGTTAAGTTAAAAAAATGTATTTGAAGTTTCAGAAATATATGCCTCTTGAGTTTTGAGTCACATTGTTATCTATGAATGCAGAAACATCAAGTTCAAAACCCTGATAAGGTGAAAAAAAATGAAATGCCCAGGTCCGGGACAGCATGAAAACACTTAAAATAACTAGTCTGAACACTTGGGTTCACTTAAGGTTGGGATTCATTACTATGTGTTCAGTGAGATATCAAAACAACCGGATAAAGAAGGTCGTTGATTAGCTGGCTTGATAATAAAGGCAAGTTTGTTTTTTGTTTTGTTTTGTTTTGTTTTTTACTTAATTGTGCCAAGCATCACAGAGATGTTTGCAGCAAAATTACATTTCAGGAAAGAATCAGTTTAAGATAAATTAGCAGATTATAATAAAGAAACAGAAATAGTCACATATAAAGCTTTGACTAGTACTGATAAGAGAAAAAGGCAAGAGGTAATTTTAGTCTCTGAAGTTCTTCTACATTAGACATTTCTCAATAAATGCCACCTTAAAAGGGGTAGGCATTTGTAATGGAAGAAGCTGTGCCTCAAAAACAGATCATATAAACCCATTTGACAAAGATAATGACCTTATCTTAGACAAGGAAATATTCAAAGTATAAACCATATTCACCAGCAATACACTGGCATTCTCAAAAACTAATGTTACTACTCCTCAAAGAGGAAACCAGAAAAATACCCATCCGTTTTTATCTCAGATATTTTTAAACAAACGTATGTTGAATAAAAAGTTTAAGAAGTTCTTAATTTCTAGATTAATAACCAGTCCTACAGGTCTACCTCAATTTTTTTTGAAAAACATTTGCACATAATTAAAAATTCAAATAGGGCAAAAGTATAATGGAAAAAGAAATTGTCTTTTCCAACCCAGGCTCCCTGTTCCCTCACCGAGAGGTAGTCACTGTTCTCACTGAGGGTCTGGATAGCTATGAGCATGCTCACGCCATGATCACATACGAGCACGTACATGCACACGCACATACATGTACATGCACGCACATGCAGACATACACACATGTACTCACACGTACACACACACACACATGCACTCTTTGGTGATTTTCGTCTTGTTTTATTTTTACCCAAATGGTATATTTCTCTGTACCTTTCTGTTTTCTCTTAATCAGACACCTTCACAGTCATTCCAGGTTAACAGAACAGCTCTCCATCGGATGAAGTACAATAGCTTGTTTAACTAGTCCTTCTTGATGGGTATTTAGCTATCTCCCTTCTTTTGTTACTGAACACTCCCCTGCAACCAGTATTCTTGTGCATTTTCTTTATGCCCAAGTCAGTATAAATACGTATGATAAATTCCAAAAAGGGAAATCCCTGTGTCAACAGGATTGACAGCAATTTGGGTGGATAATGCCAAGTTGCCTTCCATAGGTACTGCATTGATTTACATCACTACCTTTAAAACCCAACTATAGTATAAGCTACTTTTTGTGCGAAATCTTTAAAACCTCTGCATAGTACAATTTGCTAAAAGGATCCAGGCTAGAACAGTCTGGTTCAAGAATTATATTCACTCATATGGAACATAAGAAACAAAGGCAGTGAAATTTAAGACTCTCTAGACTCTTATAATGGGAGAAAAAAAAAGAATATAATACAGAAAATAAACTTGGAAGAATCAGGTAAAAAAAAATCCAGGCATATATATTTCAATGTGTTTCCATTCATTATTTCAGATGATGCTCTTAAATGCATGTGAACTAAGTGAAGCAAGTCTGACTATCCCTAATTGGGGAGAGCTTCTCATTCCTTGACATGTGTGCTTTCTGTTCCTGACTGGTAGGAAAAGGAGAATAGAAGGCAACTTTCTATTTTGATTTGCTTTGAAAAGACCTATGTTATTAACTTAAATAATACAGAAATTGGATTGGGTAAATCCAAGCTAGAGAGGATGGACAGATGCAGATGTGCTCAATAGTGATTGAACCAGTTCCGTTGTCTCAAGATCTACCCGAGTTACAGGCGGTCTGTGGTGTAATTTCCCAGAAATGTCTGGGGTTGGGTTTAATAACTCAGATTCCTCAGTGAGGAAGCAGAAGAAGGAGATCTTATTACAGAATATTCTAGGCTTATCTTTCTCCAGAGTTAAAATGTTCACATTTAATCTTATATTTCTTGATTTAATCTTGAAGTGGCCCAACTGCTTCCTGCCCCTCTCAAAAAAAAGGTTTTAACAAAAGATTATGTTATCAAATAAAGAAATCTCCAATACCTGGGTAATTTTTAAGCAGTCTTGACTGTAAAATAGAAAAGAAATCTCAGAGTTCACCTAATCCAACCCTTCATTTTGCAGATAAGAAAACTGAGTCCCACAGAGTGGCTTGCTTGAAACAAAAAGGTTTATAACGAGAGTAATGCATGCAGTCAGAGCTAATTAATGTACTTACCCCATATACATGTTGTACAGAAAAGAGGATAAGTATAAGTGACCTATGAAACAGCAAAAATGCAGATTAATTTAAACTGTTCATTTTCATGCAAAACAAACTAAAAAGAGAAAGAACAAAGGAATAAATCCCAGAAAGCTTCTTTTTATTTCTAATAGGCCGCTGTCATCAGTGACAAGATAAATGTTATCCCCTCTCTGGCTGTCATCATTACCTTCCCTCTTGCTAATCAGTCAAGAAGTACTCACAGCCCTTTAATGGGATCCTCACTGTGCCTGGGACCCTGGGGACACTCTGAAGGCAAGACCCAGATGGGTAGCTGAGGGAAGGGAGACGACTCTCTGAATGAAATGCAGAGGAGCGAGGGAAGGAGGCAGCTGTGTTCAGAGACAGTGCAAAGACCAGTGTACCCTGAATGACATTAAGTGGAACCAGCTGGAAGGAGGGAGGAGGGAAGAAAACCTATCTGGACTGGGGAGATGGTTTGGAAGGGAAGGAAAATAATATGAACCAGTTAGGGAAGAGTTAAGTAGTTCAGATGGTCTCTTCCATCTTCAGAGCCAGCAATGGCCAGTCGAGTCTGTCTATCCCTCTGACCTCTGCTTCCATTGTCCCATCTCCTTCTTTGCCTCTCACTCTCCTTCCCCCTCTTTCACTTTTAAGAATCCTTGTGATTATACTGGGCCCACCCAGATAATGCAGAATAATCTCCCCAAGGTCAGCTGATGAGCAAACTTAATGTCATCCACAAGCATAATTCCCTGTTGCCATGTAACAGAACATATTCTCAGGATCCAGGGATTAAGATGTGGACCTCCTCAGGGGCTGTTATTCTGCCTACCATACCCGTGAAGCGCCCTGTCCTAACTCTGCTAGTTAGAGGGCCCCTGCTGCTCTGGACATTAGGAAGGATTTGCTCTTCAAACCTAGTAATAGAGCAAGAATCCACAGCCTTTAGATGAGTGTCTTTTCCATTGGTGATGATGGGAGTGTAATTCAAGGAGAGTATTGGTGTTTAATAAAAATGAATCACAAAAAAAAGCAGTCATAATGCACAGATTTCTGGAACAATTTGGCTTTTTGACACATGAAACATTCAGACAATTCATAACTATAAAACCAACGTTTAGGAAAAATTATTGAATAAAAGCAAGTGATCACACTAAGGACACTCACCAGGAATCTGCGGCCAAGGGCTTGATCCACCTGAATGAGCACCTTATTGACGCCATGTGCATGGATTACTTCAAGTCTTGGTACTTTAAAAAAATTCTGTCAGGTTTCTCTTCTCTTCCAGAAGACTCTGACTTATAAGAGAGGTTCTATGCCCTGGGTTTAAAGTTTATATATATTAAATATAAGTATATCTCTTAAAACACAACATGCATTATAATGTTGAAAACAATGACTTTCATCATTCATAGTAACGGAAATATTTCCTAAAAGGGGAATTCAATTTTTTTATAAGAATCTTAGTGATCATTAAACTGAATAAATATCAATTTCATTCTTAGAAATAAAAATAATTTCCAGTTATTTATGTCATAAATATGTTTTTGAGAAATGAAAGAGAGGTGTATATAATGCTCATATAAAAGTTATTGTTTCATTTTGTTATGTGGTATTTTCTACTACATAACATTTGCCCTTGAAAATCCAAGTTAAAATTCACTTAAGTGAGTTTTTTTGTTTTTGTTTTTTACTTTTTGAAACTAGGAAAGGAACCCTTTAGTATAGAAAGACACACTTTGCACACAAACAGCAAATACATATGAAAATATTTTTATATAAAATGGTACAACTGCTATGGAAAACATTTTGGCAGTTCCTCAAAAAGTAAACACAGAATTACCATATGATCTAGCAATTCCACTCCTAGGTATATACCATGAGAAGTGACACTATGTTCATGCATAAACTTGTATATAAATAATCATAGCAGCCAAAAATGTCCAAATGTCCATCAACTGATGAATGGGCAAGCAAAATGTGCTACATCCACACAATGGATTTGGCCATAAAAATGAATGAAGTACTGATACATAGATGAACCTTGAAAACATTATATTAAATGAAAGAAGTCACATATTACATGGTATCATGTATATGAAAAACCCAGAATAGGCAAATCCATGAAGACAGAAAATAGAGTAGTAATTGTCAGGGGTTGGAGGAGGAGAGAATTGGGAGGTACAGGGTTTCTTCTTGAGGTGATGGAATGTTCTGGAATTAGCGGTAATGGTTGTGCAACATTATGAATATACTAAAAACCACTGAATTAGAAACTTTAAAAGGGTTCAAACAGTGAATTTTATTTTGTGAACTTTATCTCAATAAAAAAAAGAAAAAAGAATTTGACTCCAAGCACTCTGTATCTTTGATAAAAGATCTCTGGCTTAAAGGAATGTCTTGAAATTGAAGTGTCTTGAAATTGAAATGCCTCATCTTAAAAACTCTGGCTTCTCTGAAGACCTGTACCAATGAGAATTGGGTAGAGAGAGGAAAACTGGGAGTGTTGGAGCTAATTTTAAATTTCTGGATAAAATCTGGATAAACTAACTCAATGCTGTATTTACGGGAGACTAGTTCTCCAAGTAGGTGGTAGAACCACCTTCCATGATACAGTTTGAAAATCAAGTAGAAGCAGAATCACTCTGAGTGCCCAGATCATTTCCTATCCCCAAATCCATCATTTTAAATACTTTTTGAAGCTGCATTCTGGGAGCAAGTCTCAATAAAACAAATTATTGATTTGGAAGGAATACACATACTGGCTTGAATCATTCAAAAGGTACTCGTTATTTTAAACAAATAGGAAACAGTCAAAAATTAAAGAAAACCAGGGACATTTGCATTTAACCCCCAAAAAGACACATGATGCAATTAATCTCCACACATATTGTGATAAAGGGTGTACAAAAAGGGATTTTATTAAAATAGAGTGTTGTTGTGGTCACTTTCAGAACAAGAAGTGTTAGGGCCTGATCATGGCCCTAACACTTAGGAGTTTCTCAATACATTTTGTAATTGAATGGCTGGCCAGCTGGATGCATGGTTGGGTGGACAGATGGACCAATCCGCAGAAATCTAACTAGTCTCTCATGAGTGAAAGGACCTTGCTGATTGGGAGCCGTCAATGCATCCTCATCACTATGCACTTAGTAAGCCTTGTGACAATAGGGATTTTGTCTTTTTTTATTCACAGTTATCCCCAGTGCCATAATAGTGCCTGGAATACATTTAGTGCTTTATATATATAATTCGTTGGATGAATGAATTTACAGAAGATACTTTGGGACCTTTAGAATGTGAATCAAATATATTTAATAGAGGATATAAGATAAGACCAATACACATGGGTTGATGGAGGAAAGGAGAAAGAGGGAGATGGAAAGAAGGATCATACAGCCTTGGGGGAAGTGGAGAGAAAGTGATGCTGATTACATCCGGGACCCTCTGCTAAGAGTGCTGTGCACATCAAGTCACTTACTTCACCACAATTTAGTAAGGAAAGCATTGATTCTGTTGTAAAAAAAAAAACAAATTAGGTCCATTTAAGTAATTGGTGTAAAATCACAGAGCTAATAAGTGGTAGAATTGGGATTTTTTGATTCCAATATGTATCTCTTCTCCCAGTAGACACCTAAGCATGGCAGCCTGCAGATGTCTGCTCTCATACTCCCCTAGGAATGGTTTTTAAATTATGCACACCCCCTCTTCTTTTTTTTACAAGTTAACCTCTAAAAACTTTCATTTTCTCTTTAAATAGTTGCAAAGTATAATTTGGAACATTGTACATGGTGACCTAGAAAATAACAACAGTTGCAGCACTATTTTTTTAAATTTTTTAAAAGATTGATCGATTGATTGACTTGAGAGAGAGCAAGAGAGAGAGAGAATGAGTGGGAGAGGGCAGAGGGAGAGGAAGAGAGAATCTCAAGGAGAATCCCCACTTAGCACAGAGCCCAACACAGGGCTCAATCTTATGATCCTGAGATTATGACCTGAGCTGGACACTCAATAGTCAAGAGTTGGATGCTCAACCGACTGAGCCACCCAGGTGCCCTACAGCACTATTTTAGATGTAGCTAATGGACCATCATAACCATCATAAGGATGGTTCTCACCACCATCAGTTTAAAATTCATGCACACAAGTTCTTTAACAGCTAGAAATTTTATATCATTTTTCTTCTTGAATTCATATTTCCATTCCACTCCCCTACATATATCATAGTGCAATATATTTTTATACTTGAAAATCTTATATTGATCACCCTACCATACTTCTCTGCAACAAAAATATGTATATAAATTACTTTTTATTTTCTATGATCACAAATCTCTAAGTCCTAAATTTTTTTCACCTGAATTTATTTGTCATTATGATGAGAAGTAGTATATAATCCACCAAAACCAAGTAAATTTAAATTTTGATAAATAATTATTCAACACATTACAAATGAAATTTTACTGGAAATGTAGTTGACAATGAATGAATTGGGCTTTTTGGTTTCTCAAATAGTTTATTTAGCCCAGATCAATAAGGAGATCTGGTCAAGAAATGATCAAGCAACTGTCCTGCTTCCACTTTAGTGTCTTAAAACTGTAAGTTCTAATAAACCTATTCACAGAAAAAAACAAGTTGTGAATGGAAGGAATTTGTTCTATATATCACTCAATGCTTTGAACTTCTCCTGAGTTGTATACCAAAAGCAATATAGAATTCATCATCAAGAATCATTTTGAGTGATCTATCTGATAAGTCTTCCTCAATTGTGATGAAAGCAAAAAGTTGGGAACCACCTGGCCCTGGGATGTGGAGTCTGAGAGGTAGAGTGCTCTCTGTTCTTAGTACCTGCGTTTACACTGCCGTGTCTGGCCTGCAAACAGTTCTTGTCTTCGGGGCAAAGCAGGGTGGTAACATCTGGGATGCCTGGGGGTGGGGTTGTGCTTCTCTGGTGTAAAGTAGCAAAAGGAAAATTATGAAGGAGTTGGTTAGAACCTGAATCAAAGGCCCATCTTCAGATTGAACAATTCTAAGAACGAGTATCTATAGCAGTTGAGAATCTAAGAATCTAAAAATTGATTCCTTTACTTAATTTTCCAAGATGCCTACACAACTGTTAGGAATCTATTTGTGTCCCGAGGTGTATGTACCTCATCTTGAAGATCTCTGCTCTAGATGAGCTGCTAAAGGTAAAAAACAAAAACAAACAAACAAAAAACCTGCCATGTTCACTGTTTGACCTGGAGCAAGCCTTGGATGACCATGTGCTTATCCCGCATGACTGTCGAGCCCAAAACTAGCCATGAAGAAGTCGTGGAGAATTTATAACTGTTCTCCTGTCTAAGTTGCACCAATAGCTGAGCAGAGGGCCCATCTCATTATCAGCTGGACACCATGAACATCGGTGTGCACTGTGCCCTACGGTTCACATAGGAAATCCACAGCAATCTGAGAGGATTTTCTTTGCTGCAACTGCCTGTGTTAAGAGCATAAAAACTTTTGTCTCAACCAAGCTGTTGACTGCACCAAACAAACAAAAATACTCTCGCTCAGAACACTGTCCTTCTAACCTACCTTCTCACAAATACATGGCTGTCATTCCATGGGATTGGACTCACTGACCAAGACAGTGAATTTCCAATGGAGTCTATCATTAGTACATTAAAAAAAAAAAAGCTTTAACAACCCAAAGGGCTGTGCCACTAAAAGGTATGCAAACAGCAGCTTTGGGAGAGTGCCTACCCAGGAAACTTCTGCCAAAGTTCTGCACCTTTCAAAGCACATGCTTTGTTTGGCCAACTGTTATTCTCAGGAAGGGAGCATTCTCCCTAAGCTACTGCGTCAGGACCCACTCAGGCCCCACCTTCAGCCCAGCTAAGCAAGGGTGCGGCCAGATTTTCATCACCCAGCCACAGCGCGGAGGAGGAGAACCACTGGACCCGAAGGCAGCCAGACCCAGAGCTGGACCTAGAACTCTGACTCAGGGCTGGGGAGGATGGTGCAAGAAGATAATCTGGATCAGTCCTCTTGGAGCTGAAATTAGGAAAGAGAGGAAAGGGGGGATAAAGGAGTAAGGAGGCGTCAGGAGATACACCTGAGGTACAGTCAGCCACTCGAAGGCTGGGACAGGTCAAGGTAAAGGACAAGCCTGAATTTAGAGGAAACAGATATTCTCAGTAATCATAAAATGCTGTTTTTAAGAGAAGAAAATGCAAAAGGAGAAAGACGGAGTGTCTATGATGAGAGAATGAAAGACTAGCTCATTCCTAAGAGCTGCCCCGTTTCTGATGCAAGCTTATAGCTTGTTCCCTTTACCTGAGCAA